TGAAGTTCCTCCTTGTCTTAGCATGTTTTAGGTGTTTGAACGGGGCTAGAAAGTGTTTTCAATCATGTTCGAATCATGTAGGATGCATTTAGAACCTTAGAAATGGCCCAAGCACTTTACACACACCTTACAGCAGCTTTTCATAGTAGCAGCAGGAGTTTCGGTCGGCTGATGAAGCTCTATCGGTCGATTGACGATTTCCCTCAAGACCATTCCAGTAAGCTTTTTAGGAAAAACCCTTGTTTTGGCCGACTGATGATTGGGGTTCGGCCGACCGATGGTTGAGTTTCAGCCGGCTAATGGTTGCATTTCGGTCGACCGATCCTCCCTGGGAACTTCTCCTTCCAATTTCCTTGGACAGTTTTCTTGTATTGACTTCATAGGATCATATCTTACTCATTTCTGATTCAAATCTAGTCATTCTTGAGCCTATCTTCAAGAGCTTGAAGATAGTTTTCCAATGATATCAACCACTCATCAAAACTCCACCTATAGTGAGAGTTATTCCAATTTTAGTAAGATAGGTTCATGGTAACCTTTAAACGGAGAAGGCCTCTTTATTTTAAATTCATATCCTGTTCGTTTGAACTCAGAATCAGGCGATTCTTGAGTATAACTTTGTTCATTTTTCGTTGTCTTTCCAATAGTGTGCTCAGTGGCACCCATTTCAATTTAGAAATGACCATTTTGCCCTTGGTTCATTTCTTTTCAGATTAGGCATTCTTGCTTCATTTGTTTGGGTCATGTGAGTTTAGTACCTTTATGGGGAGTCACTTCAGTGCCTTAGGGATGACGTATATCTCTTAAGGCCATTCCAATTCTTTTGTTTTCGAATCTTGGATCCGGTTCGGGTCATCACAGGACACGCTGGGTTGAAAAATCTAGGGTCGTCACACAAACAAACAGATTGAGAAGGCAAAATGAGAGAGAGTAATCAAGCAAACAACTTGTAATCAATAGAAATTGTATACATTCAAACGGGAAAGAAAAAAAAATGAGTTTAGTCATGCCTTGTTGCCTTGCTTAGCTCCATACCCTCTATAACCTCTAACCGTTGATAGAGCACCACCATGCTGCAAAATAGCATTAGAGTTCTCCATAAACAAACAAAGGAATGGAGGGCCCAGAAACATGAAAAGAATAAAAGAAATAATAAATTTGGTGAGCTTCCCTGAAAAAAGGAATAACTTAGTGCACTGAGGCTCTTTATATTGCACATTCAAAGAGATTGTTCCTGTTTGGAGAAAATCGGATGTTCTAGTCATACATTTCACATTCAAAGAGATTGTTCCTGTTTCGAACCCATAACCATCAGGTCATAATGGAACAACCCTTATGTAAGTATTTGTTAATAATAGCACTACCCATCATAGTTTTGATTAAGTGTTTGTGGATGAGTATATAGTTGTTAGATCATGCTGGATTACATGAAATCTACATGTTAGTGCAACATGCTAGGGATTGTAAATATACCAGAATAATTAATGTAGGTATGAGTTCTAGTTTTTTGTGATTTTTTTTTTCTTTGACAAGAAACACTCACCATTTCTTTGAAAGGTGAGAAAGTAACACTATTCATTCTTTGTGATTATTTATAACTAAAATTTCTAGTTTTTCATGCCACAAGACTATTTTCTTTCACATGTATAGTTTATGTATAAAATACAATTAATGAAATTCATATAAAGGATGCTGGCATGGGATCGATTTATCTTTTCTGAAGTGAGTTTAACTAGGTTGATTAGTCAAACAAGTTATGCAGCGACCTAACCGGCTTATATTGTGTATATTAAAAGTTGAAACCTTTGTGGCAAAATAATACTCATCTCACCCAAAGTTTTCCATAATTATATGGACCTCCTTTTTTGTTTGAAAAATTACAATACCCTTGTTTTTTTGTTTGAAAAATTACACTGACCTCCCTTTCAAACACTTTATCTAACTTCATTAGCAAAGTACACAATTTTACTATTTTTCCCATAAAATCTGAATTTTTAATTTGAATAAAAAAATATTTTAAAGGATAATTTGGTATTTGGATTTTCAAGTTACAATAACACTAAAAATCGTTATTGATCGGTTTTGGCCATTAACAGAGAAGGAACTTGTTATAAAGCTACGTCTGATTGAGGAGGTGAATACAATTTTTCAACCAAGAGGGAGGTTTGTGTAATTGTGGCACACCTCAAGGGAGGTTGTAATAATTTATACAATATTTTCACAAAAAGTAACTTTATAAAACAGGTAATTTTAATTTATTAATTATCCAATGTAAGATAAAATAACTAAGAGAAAAAAAACGAGGCCATTACAACATTAAAATGGCCGCTTATTTATCAGCTGTTGGCCCAGTCAACTTACCTAGTCACCTGGTAAGTACCTGTCAGAATAAATAAATATCACATGAAAACCTCACAAAATCACTTTTCTAACCACCACGTACAAAAAGAAATAAATAAAGAAAAGCTCATTGTATCTTCAATGGAACCATTACCTCAACCATGGCTGATGTTATGATGTCCGGTAGAGGCTCAGTGGTATCACCGACTCCAAGTCTTATCAACGTTGCTTGTAGGTATTTCTGAGTGTGTTCAAGCTCACGTGCAGATATCTAGTTAAAGTCATATGGCGTAATAAGAAATATAATAATTTCACATGTGAAACAAAAATTATGATATACATATGTATATATATACTGCCATCAAATAAACATTGAACATATAAGAAAAGATGATTTCAACAAAAATGAGCCTAAATCACTAAAAGTTACACACACAATCATCATTGTAGTTACAAGAACTAACAAAAGATCGTAAAGCAGGGAGGAACAAAAGGCTGTAACTGAAAAAATTAATAATAATAAGAATAATAATGTTGGAGTAAAATATAAATGACCATATCTTGTTACTTAGTTGCAGTGATGGAGAGAGTTGAAGATGCAGTGAAGCCTACATATTTGGACACGTGGATAAACGAGGTTCCATGAAGCCAACAGACAAGTCTACCTACCCAAACCAAGAAAAGCTTCTCTCTGTCACATATTTTAATGTCATCAACACCCACCCACATTTCTTCCAACATTAACTCGTACCAATAGCCATCGTAGAAAATGAATTCATCCACACCCAATCATTGACCCTCCAATGACCAAGACTGAATCAATCACATGGATGATATCACTCACTATTTCCATGTTTAAGTCAGACACATACATACGCCCACACTCTTGCTTCAACCAAACATTGTAGAGGAAATACCAGCTAGTAAAGATTTGAAAATAGGGAGGGTAAAAGAAAAAATTCAACCAGAGAAAATGAAAACACCAAAAACAACATCACATCATGCCAAATAACTCCCAGGTCTTTTTTAATTTTTTAGTTCTAATTTGTTTGTAGACTTATTTTCTGGGTTGGGCCATTTATTATTTATGTTTTTATTATGGATTGGACAACTTGAGCTGGATTATGGCTAATTTTTTTTTTTTTGAAATAGTAGTACTAATTTTTTAATTTTTTTTTTTGAAACCTGTATAGCCCAGGTTAGTCCGTAGAGCTCCGCAACCAACCTTGAACATCTGATTGATTTCACTGATTTTTTTATAGGGAATTATTGGTCTCACTCTAACAAACTCGAAAAAACCACTAGATCCAAAATTTCACACTAACCCACAGTGGCTGAATACTACTAGGTAGTATATGTAATATTTTAACACACAATAACGTTTATGCTGGAAAAAGCACCATTTTTTTTTTTTTTTAATCAGTTCTCGGCCCACCTTGTTTTTAAATCCTTAGAGATGCTACCAAAGAAATTTTCTTAGAGAGCATTCATTCTTAAAAAAAAAAAATTCACGCCGCCACTCAGATAAACTCCGGATTCATGAGCTTTCTTATTGACTTTTTATAGATTTTTTTTTTTCGGTTGTTGATAACATTAATGGAATCCTTAATATCACCTATCAAATAATATACATAAAAATTATTGAAATAAATATATTTTTACTTATATGACAAGATATTACTTGTTGATGACACTTCGTAATATACTACACTTCATAATTTGGAATTATTCAAGAAATATTTTTCTCAAACTTGATCAAATCTTTTTTTTTTTTCTCTCCAAAATTAAAAATCTTATGCCGCAATATAGTTTTTTTGGTGAAGGGAAAAGTCTTCCCTTCAATAGAAACGTGCCATGTCAGAGTGTGGGGGCCACAAGAGAAAGGTTGGACTGGTCAATGGATTACCGGGCCAAAGCCCAACTCCGAGCCCCAGAACGCGCTTGACTAAGATCCAGCCCAGTAGAGGGTCATTGAGCCAAAATACATACATCGGGCCATCCTCGATCAACGGTCCGGCCCAGGAGCAAATAGAATCCCACATGAAGAATACTACTATAAGGAAACAAATACTATATGGTACAATTTTGAGGGACAAGCATATAATAAAGGCATGACCTCCCAATTTAAAAGCAATTCACTGCTAATACTATTCACCATGGTATTGCATTGCAAATTTATTACATTTGTTTTGAAAATTTACCACTTTAAATGATGAATTTTTACCACTATAATGGTGAAATTTGACCCAAGTTCAAAGTGAAGTGGTAAACTTTTGAAGTAAATATAGTGAAATTACACCATGAAATAGTGTTTGGAAGAGGATTTTGATGATGCACTCGAACACCAAAATTTATTACTTCGAGATTCGTCTCCAATTTTTAAAATACCAATTGAAATCCACATTTGAATTAATTCTGAAAGGTTGGCCGTCAACGGTTTATGACATCATTATGAGAGAGGCAGGATTAAGAAAGACATATAAATATATATACACATATGGTACAAACCATACAACCCAAAGCCTAGGGTTTTAAAAAATTATCAATGTGGAACCATCCATTATCTACAGATTTTCAGGCCAAGCAAAGGTTAAGCTTTCACAATCTACTGATTTTCTATTCTGCCAATTAAAATGAATTTCATCTACAGAACGCAAAAATCATCAAAAGTTACCCCAGCATATTTTGAAACAAATACAATAAAATATAACATAAACTGTCCATTACTCAAACATCATATGTAACATGAGAGGACAAAATATAACACACAGAAAATCCAGGTGGTATTTACATAGATGAAGAATGCAATACAAACATTCCTGGATAGACCATTTTCATGGAGTTTTTGCATCATAAAATGTCTTCGCAATATCATTCATTCGATGCCGCAATCGACAAAAGGGCAAATGCACATTGATAACAACTCAACTACCTATCCTTCATCTTGAATGAAAAATGCACCCAAATAAAGCCGACATGCTAGCATGTTCGATTTATTAGAATGTTTTCTTGAGAATAATACACCAATTCGATTTGTCATAAAACCGATCAACCACGATGGCATTATCCATACCAGATACTAACCTGCAGTGATGTTTAGAGAAGAACAGACACTGAGAATAAAGTTGTAGACAAAAAAACATGTTGGCACAGAGGGATAAAACGAAATAATATAGAACAAAAGGAGAACCATAATAAATGTTATATTTTTTTGCACTTTTTAAATGGATAAATGTTCTTGGTAAAGAATGACACAAACTAAAGATCTTTGACTGCCTTACTGTTATTAGTCAATCAGATATAGTAAATAATTTCAGCAAATTGAGCAATTGATAAAGTGGCAAGCAGTTTGATAGGATATTAAATACACGAACAATCCCTTGATGGTTAAGAATTATTATGTACAAAAATGAAATGTTATTTGGAAAATGAAGTCTTAAGCATATGTCCACTTTAAAAATATTAGATACTTGTTGTGGATTAATGAGATCTAACAAACAGGATTAAAGATTTCTAATTCATAATTGTTAAAAGAAAAGGTCAGTCTGGGTACTGCCAAGCTGGAGTTTCCTCTATTTACCCCCCAAAAAATGAAAATGGAGTTTCCTTTTAATTTGGTGCAAATTATTAATAAGTAGAAAGCATCTACTTACATTAATTCAGATAGTTCACCTACAACTGGAGAAGAAATCGGATCGTAGTTTGAATTCTCTCTTTTGTCATCTGTTCTAGGGACCAGGAGAAACTCACCCACCGCAGGGCAACTCAACTAGTGGGTCGGCCAGCTATAGATCAGTCTACAGTTCACTACAAGATTTAACAACGATCATGATGATAACAATTTTGGGGCTGATAGGTTTTTATTTATTTATCAAGATTAGAGTATTACACGTAGGATGATGGTGATCCCAGTAGATCAAACTAAAGTGAAAACAGGCAGCCTTGGGGGGGGGGGGGGGGGGGGGGGGGGTGGGGGTTACTGGAGAGAATCAGGAATATCAAAGATTACTGTGATCCTCTCCCTCCTTACAGTACTCTATAGGTTGTTTCTTAATGTCTTAAAAAATGGAATAGGGTTATCCTTTCTATTTAGAGGAGTATAGGAGCGGGATCATAGAGGACAAATGGCAATAAAAATATGTACTGGTGGAAGCTACATGGCTCAAGGGATATACTGCCAAATCATAGGATAAGAATGTAGTTTAAGTGAAGCACACTGAGCATGACATCTGGTTATGGAAAGTCTCAAAGAACATGTGGTTTCTCTCATCACCAAATAACTCTGTGCACTGAAGATTGTGCAGTACAGGAGATGATGTAAGGTGGAGACATGAGGCAAGCTAATAGAAAATTATTGTATTGAATTCGAAGTGCCCTGCTATTATTACTTAATATTCATATTTCGTATGGTTATTCTTCTTTTTCCTCTCAAATGAAAAGTTCATTGGTGCCAAGCGTGAGGGAATGCTAGACGTTTGGTAATTTCTCCTCCGAACAGGTTAAAAGATCGAATTTGAACAGATAAATATCATGCATATTGTATGTACATCTGGTAGCAAAAATTGCATGGTTTCATAAATAGCCATTCTAAGTGTTGCGCATCCACCACAAGAGTTTATAAACAATTACAGATATTTGGCATCATCCTCGATACTGTTTTATCTTTTATAACTAAAATTTAATTAAACAACCACTCAAAAGGAGAGCGTGAAACCAAATTCATCAAGAAAATTCAATTCATTTAAAAAATAGACAAAACTAAATCTTATAAAGATAATATATATGTTTACAAGGGAAGCAAAGTCTGATGGGGGATCAACGGTCCTTCCTCGAAGTCACGAGGCTTCCTCGCCTTAATCTGAACAGAGAAGTGGATTGTGTTTCCACTAGCAGGGGACATATCTTCAGGGTTGATAATCACAACACTACGATCTGGGAGGCGGTGATGAAATCGTGCTTGGTTGGTGGTTCGACAGACAGGTGGAAAGCCTAGAAAGAATCGAAGAATGGGCTGCGAAGATCTGGAAGGTCGCAAGTAGGGTGAGGGATTCTTCCCTACCTGAGGGGCTTCTTCTGTTCAGACTGCCCTCAAAAGCCGAAGCTCAAAGGGTTTGAAAGGGGGAAAGAAGAAATGGGGCGATGCAGAGTTGTTATTGGACCCTTGGTGTTCTCGCGTTGGTTGTTCGGGACTCAGGATGAGAAGCAATGGAAGAAGGATCATCATTTATCGACTTCCTCTGCATTTGTGGTGCCAGAATCTTTTCAAAGACAATGATGATCTTTGTGGTGGGTTCCGGGCAGCTGAGGTTTTTGAAATGTGCGAAACAGAAAGGATTGTGCTCACTGTTGACGAAGGTGGAGAGATTCTGGCATTCATCATCGTGGAAGACAGTCAGGGGCTTCAAGATTGCATAGCATGAAGAAATTGATCCCTTGATGGTCCCTAAGTCTGCTTCCCTTCTTGAAAAAACAGATTATCCCAAACCGATTGCGGAGGAGACGGGTCTGAGACGAAGAGATCGATGGCATGGGGCTTGATCGGAGACTCTGAAGAAGACTGTGGATGGAGGACAGGGACGTGCACGCAATCAAGAGCGTAAGGAGCGAGTGGGAAGCCTGCAGAACAGAGCATCACGTGGTCCGGAATCTTCCCGTTCCATTTGCGTTACAGCTGTCTCCTGATGTGATTGCACACGTGAGGGAGACTCTCTTTTCAAACTTGATGGGTCTATTCGTAACGGGATCAATAAGGATGGCTTTGGGCCTGGGCTGCGTGGATCAAAGATGGGCTATGTTTCATCTGTTTCCTCTTTGGGGTCTGCTTCTAATAAGACCTTTAATGGCCCAAGGTTACCGAGATCACAGCGCGCAGCAAATGTGCACGGATCCTAGCTGGGCCAACAAAACCCACCTTAGATCCATGAGGTCACGATCCAGAAAGGTGTGTTTTGACCCAAGAAATGGTCCGTTTATTTCTTTTAAAAATAACATCAACAGCCAAACAGCCCATATCAATTCTGATCAGACCGCTTCTGTTCTTCTCATCCAAAGACGGTGTCTGCTGATCTTTCTTCTTCCCATGATCATTTTGTTGACTTAAAGATATAATCAAATCAAGAGTAAGTGATAAAGAAGAAGATGTTTTACTTTCTTTTGGACAATTCTTCTTTTTTCACTTTTTCTCTCTGTTGTTTACAGATTTGTTCACTTATGACGCCTTTAGGGGCGATTTCACCATACTAGGGGCGATTCTAGGAGCGACTTTTGGGGGATTAGGGTTAGGGCTTGTCCTGGGCTGAGTATATGCTACGGGATGAAGTCTTTTCTTAAGGTTGCATGGCCGCCGAGGATTTCATTTGGGGGGGGGGGGGGGGGGGGGGGGGGGGTGGGGTTGGTGTTAAGGCAGCAATCCCTCATCGTGGGCCATCGCTGTATCTTGATGAGGCGTCAGTTGAAGGGAGAAGATCGATGTTGTTGTCCTGCTTGGTTGGACGTTTTGATAAAGAGGTTGGAGGTTATGATCGAATTGAGGAGTGGGCGGCAAGGGCGTGGAATATGTCGTGTGGGGTGGGTGTGACGCCATTATCGGACTCTCTTCTTCTGTTCAGGTTTCCACCTCCGGCGGAGGCGCAAAGGGTGCTGAAGGAAGGACGGTGACAGTGGGGATCTGCTACACTGAGGATTGATGTATGGTCTTTTAGGGTAGGTTGTTGTGAGGTGCTCAAGGACAGAGGGCTTAAGCGAATTCGGCTGTTCGGGCTTCCGTTGCATTTCTGGTGTCAGACACTTTTTGTTCATACATGATAATAGGTTCTGTTACAGAGTTTCGATTTAGGAAGAGGTATTGCCAGAGCTTGTTCCCACAACTGAAAGCTTAGAAGGCAGCGATGGGGCTCATCTTATGACGGAGGAAGAGTGGATCAGGATTCTTAGTAAAGGAGAGAAAGGGGTGATTGAAATTCAAGAATGGTTGAAGGAAAGGGAGAGGCAGAGGGCAGTGAGGTTTGTGGGAGAAAGACGATGGGGGAGTCACGCGCCAGACAAGATTGTTCAGAAGAAGTGGAGTAAGGATCCACGTGGAGCGTAGAGATGCTCAACCAGATTGCATCCCCTTATCTTCAGCTGATGGGGTTGGGGATAAGGTTAGGTGGGCACGTGACCAAGCTGCCGTCTTCAAATGGGCTGGGGAAGGTGGTAGGTTAGACCAGAGGTTGGTAGAGCGGGCTCAAGCTGAGCCCATGGTGAGGAGGAAGTTTGGGCTGAGGCCCTCCAATGGGTGGATGGGCCAGGTGAGGGATGGGGAGAGGTATAGGGATGGGCCTACTCATGTGGGCCGGAAAGGAAGTTTGAATGATATGGGCTAGCTGTATGGGCCAAGGTTTGGGGGAGTGGGGGTGAAGTCACATGGGCTACCTGGGGTGAACGGGAGTGGGCCTGTGGAGGAGGTCCGTAGTGATGGGCTTGATGATGTACAAGTGGGGGCTCAGTTGTTCGGCCTGGACCAATATGGGAGCAATTTTAGGGCTACAGTTAAAATATCAGAAGGAATGTGTGCAGAGAAGGGCTCTTCGCAACGATTGTCAAAGGTGGGCCGTGAAGGACAAGAGGCAAGAGGCGAGGAATCAGGACACCATTTCCAACCACACCGTGATTTTCAGGTTCGTAGCCGGTTGATAGGCAAAAAATGGTCGTGAGTTCAAAAACAGAAATGGGTTGTTGCTGGAGGTGGTGGCCCAGGTATGTTCTCTGCCTTGAACTCGGAGAACTCTTCTCTCTCTACGCATGCTTCTTCTTCTACTACTCTTGGGGTGGTGAGGATAGTGGGTGAGAGGGAGGGAAGGGGGAGGCCACCGGTGGTCCAGAGGCTTGCGACGATACCTAAAGTGGATGGTTAAGGGAGTGGTCCAGTATCTTCAGTCAAGGAGGATGGAGGGTATAAACACTTGGTGGAAGAGAGGGGTTTGATCAAGCTGATGGCGAATGCTATAGAACAAAGGAATGCTTATTTTAGGGTGGGGTGCAATTGTATGTTGATTGATGATGGAGGATCCGAAAGTTTGCGACCGGAGTTCAGCGCAGGTAGT